ATACATACAGTCCAAGAACCACAAAAGTTGACCTCAGTACTTGTGTAACGGGTTGAGCGAGGTCGCTCAGAATGTATTCTCGTGTTCACCCAGATCGCAGGGACTCCCCTGGCCGGGATGCACAGGAGTTGCCACACCTAACAGACAGACAGACAGACCCAGCCCTATCCATCACCTTATATTCCATTCCACACACCCACACACACTCTGGTCATGGCACTTTATGCCGTTAACCACAAAAGGTCAGCGCTGTTTTTGTCTCTGTGTCGGATCAACCAAACAAGAGCCAATTTTTGTCCCACGGATAACGGGAGCAGTGAGGCACACGCTTGGCACTCCAAAAAGGGGCGAGGGCGCTCACGTGGAGCCACATGGTTCACAAGATCTTGGTGCTCCGGCCAAAAAGGATGGGATTTTCCCCTCGTTTCCCCCTTTGATTCCCTCACATGGGATCGGAATAAGAGCTTAGTTTGATCTTGTCGATCGGATCGAGGGAGATGGCAGCACGTACTCTGATTGTTTCATTATGATATAAGGTGGCAAATATAGCTGGACCAATCCTCCTCCTTTGTTAACTACAGAATTGCAAGTGTAACCCGTGTCTCCTTAGAGCATCTACAAAAGAGAAGGCGCGGGAGGCTCGGGATGCGTCCGCCATGTCGGACTGATGGGTGAGACTCACGTGGAAAACCACACGTCTACTAAGCGCCTCCCCCGGTTTGGTCCAGACTCATTCATGGCGCCGGTTCGACGCGCCGTCCGAGGGTCTAAATCCGGCTTTTCAAGCGGCACGGCGAGGCACCCTGTAGCACCGTTCCCATTCCCCTCATCTTCCTCTCGTCCGCCGCCGCCGTTGCACCCTCCTCCCTCTCTTCCAACCCGAGCTCGTCGTCGTCTGCCATGGTCCGACAAAAAATCACGTATTATAAGATGCTCACGCCACGCCCGAACATCGGGCGGAGATTCAAGCCGAGATGCACACTGCGCCGCGTGGTGAAGGAGGCACACTGCGCCGCCGAGCTTGCGACGATGGAGGAGAAGGAGGAGTTGTCATAGGAAGAGGGGGAGCCGGGCGCTGACGATGAGGACGTGGCCAAGGAGGAGGACAAGGAGGCGACAGGCATGGAGCCTGGCAGCTTTGCCATGGTGGAGGCGGAGCCGGAGTCCCAAAACACCCAAGCCACGGAGCCGGCGGCGGCATTTGAGACGGGGCATGCCGCCATCCTCGACTCGATTCAGTCCGAGCGAGAGGTGGTGGCACCTCGCGGACGTGGAGTTGGACGAGTTGTTTGAGTCCCTCTTTTGGACGACGACGACGAGGTGAAGTCGGTATGTGGCCCGCCGCCAATGACTACGAGGCCGATCCGTCCGGCACGGGGGTCATCGACATCTTCGACAACGATTTTTTTTCCTCTCTTCAGTATAGCTCATTTTGCTAATGTATGATCCAGCACCTAGATGAATTTTATGTTGCATGGTGTACTATGAAAATAGGGGTTTAGATTTGAGGATTATTGTTGTATCGACACAGCTCAACGCGTACGCGGGCGTATAGAGTCTGCGGACGTAGAGAGAGTCAAATTTGACTAGTCCGAGATGCTCTTATCCTTCAAATTTTATCTTGCCTGGATTCGATTATCAGATCCTGCCTGTTTGTTTGCCCGAATTTAGTACTCCCCGATCGCAAGACATGTTCAGAAACCGGAATCCATGGCGTGGACAGCAGAGCAGGTCAGCCAGTGATATCTTTTGACATATAGTATTCTCAGGTGTCAGGGCAGCCGCGGGGAGAAGATATGATAGGCTGCCTAGATCCTACAGATCGCGTCTCTGCATTTGCACGCATGTGCTCCGCTTGTGACTGAGCTCTTTTGTACTGCAGTGATTTCCCGTTTGCAGTGAACTGATTTGTTTACGTGTTCACTCTCCGAGTTTTTTTTTTCCTTTTTTGAGGGGTACTCCGAGTCTGTGGCCGTTCGTTTTTTTTTTTTGAGGAAGGTCTGTGGCCGTTCGTGAGTCCACGTACTCATGCAATCGTAGGCCGGACCGGAAAGTGGGCTGAACCGTCAGCATGCGTCATTGGGCCGAAAATGGAGGCTCCGGGAGCGTCAGGCAAAACTCTAGATATTTTCACACTCTCAAAAAATGAACTCTAGATTTTCTCCCTGCTGACTGGGCCGATATCTTCCTCTTTTTTGAAGATTTTTTTTAGCACTGCTATGCACACGACGGGTCCATGCACGATTCACACACGACAAGTCATCTAGACCATTGAATTGCTTCCTTTTTAAAATCTTTGTGGCTTCTAATTAGGTCGTGCACAAATCATGCATCACAGGTCGTGTGCACAACAATTTCGGGTTTTTTCTTCTTCTGTTGGAACACTATTTGTTTTCACTCCCCATATGTCCAAAAAGCGATTTGGGGGATCACAATTTAGCCCCTCCCTTGGTCGACGAGCCTTCGGTTCCTGCCCTCTATCGCTTCGGCGAAGGGTAGGAGAGAGTGCACATGTGCTTCAACTCTTGCGAATAGCTATTATTGGCTCCATGTTTCATTCATCGGTGGTACTGGATAGTAGGTTGCTCGATCGTCTTCGAATCCGACGAGCGAGGGTTGACACTCGATGCCTCCTTGGACGACGGCGGGGTCGACATGTGTCAGAAGGTTTTGGTGGTCTGAATCTAGGAGCAACGTAGAAAAGTTATTAATGGTGGGCAATGGTTCAACTAGGCCCTCCAAAGAGTCAAAATGTAACCTCAACTTCTGTAGGGGGGGGGGGTCCTTTCTACAGAACTCCATGACATCTGGTTTTCTGGTAGTATTTTGTGGCTTTTACATGTGTAATATTCTTGTCCAAAGATATGCGTGGACATTTATCTGAAAAAAACTTAGATTTCCTTTCACTTAAAGCAAAAAAAGTCTAATGGTTCTAAAAACTAAACTTTTCTGTTGTTAAAGAAAAGATAAAACCTCGATGTTAGGCATGATTTCCTGGAGATCTTTTTTCTGATGCGGCCGAAAACAAAGGGACCATATTGGCATAACAGAGTGACAGAAATGGTTTGGCAATAAGCACAAAGCAACACATTTTGACGGCAAAACAACTCATCAGTGATTCTCTTATATTGGGTTGTTTATCTGCCATTGTTTGTGAAATCTTGACGGTGAAGATGACATCGTACAGAAATGTTCATCATGGTCGACACTACCAAAAAATAGGCGCTGTTCTAGCCTCATGGTATGGCAATTTATCATACGACAAATTACCATCGCATGCTTCTGCCCGGCCAAGCAGTGAAAACACGATGAATATGGAGATCTCATGATCATGTTGAGTTACTATGGTTTGTGTTTATTTTCTCTTGTTCTTGTTCTCTAACAATACATCAACAAATGGAACTTGCAGGGGCATGCGGGTGTGGGGGAACGCACCTGTCCAACCATGCGAGGGCACAACGCGATTTACAAAGACGTTGGGTCCCACACGAGGGCACGACAAGTTTTAAATACTTGGTTGTTGAGATTTATAATTTTGTCGGGCGCTCGAACCAAGTTTTAGAAGTTGAAACTTAAGAAAGTTTTAAAAACTCATCAAAAAGTATTTCAAACGGATCTCATTAAAAGCCTTCATCATCAGAAACATTAATATGCAAATGAAACTTAATTTAAACTTTTGATTCAAAATATATGAAGATTACAAATCAAGAGCCAAAAGAAAAACAAGGGTCACGTGCCCAGCACCTGCATGCTACAAATTCCCTCTGCATCAATAAACGCAACAGTTCAATGCCTCATCTTGTAAAGTGTGACACCCCAGGTAGAGTGTGTTTAACGATCTTGGGGTGACCTATGGAGGTTGGTGGCTCATAGGGATTTTCAAAATCTTTCAAGGCCGGCTGATGTAGTTTTTTGAAACACATGGAATTTCTCTGAGCTCACACTGAAACCTCTAGGGAATAATATTGCGCATAAGAATGGATTCCATATGAATTTAATTGCCCCAATCCAACTACCCAAAGGACTTTCATAGGGGAAAACCAACAGGACCAATTTTTTTTCTAAAAACCTATAAAAATCTTACAATTCATAAAAGGTATGCAAAAAATTGATATGCAAAACGTATGTTGTTTAATGGGTAGTACTGAGTCAGACGAGAATGGGTAAGATGAGTTTTAAGAGCATCTCAAACAGCTCCTGCAAAAGCTTCCTGTAAAAGTGGTTTTACAGTGTGTTACTCCCTCTGTAAAGAAATATAAAAGCGTTTAGATCACTACTTTAGAAAAAGTTGGGTGTTTTCTCAGTTTTCATAAAAACTCATCTAGGAAAGTGCCTTTTTGCGGCGGGGCGGCGGCGGCGGCTGACAGCGGATGGCGGTAGTCGGCAGTGTGGCGGTCGGCGGAGGCGCGGTGGGTGTAGTGGCGGCGTGGCCGGACTCTTGTGGCGGCTAGGTGACGGGTGCTGACGTGAAAGTTTTACGAAAATGATCATCTTTCCGTAAATATGCGATAAATTTTGGAGAATTTACAGGATTCCGTAAAAAGTTTGTGCGTTTAAGAAAACTGCTGGACAGTTTTTTTTCGCTCAACTTCCTCCTTTACGATGGCTTCGGATTGTGCTACGAACACTCATCGATGAAAGAGAAATATAGAGAGCAGGGAACGGTGGCCATGGCCGGCGGCATCATAGGTGCGGGTACCCTAGGACGGATCAAAGCGGTACCCTATCCACGACGGCACTTCCATCGTCGCCCCGGTAAACATCCGCCATTATAAATACCGCCGAAGCTCCCACTCCCACACGCCTAAACCGCTACGCGTACGCCCCCGGCCAAAACCAAAAGCCCCTCTCCCTTTCCGCCATTAAAATACTCGGGCCGGAAGAAACTCCCCGAAGCACCAGTGACCGTGCTAGGCTGCTAGCGTTGCGTATTGGTGCTGGTGGTATCGAGTTTCGTGCGGCGGCCACCGGTGTAACCTTTGGGAGGTGTTGGGTGGGGGATGTACGGCGCGCCGCTGTCCAAGGACCTCAACCTGCCAGTCCAGCACCAGCCGGCGGCGAACGGCGTGCGCACGCCGCCGCAGATGAGCTCCCCCGGCCTGCTGCGGTACCGGTCGGCCCCGAGCGCCATGTTCGGCGACGTGTGCGGGGACTTCCTCCCGGCCTCCGCGGGCGCTGGCGTGGGGCACCGCCAGGGCAGCCCGGACCACGCCGCCGACACCGGCTTCGCCCGCCTCCTCTCCGGCCACCACACCCAGCACCAGCCCGAGATGAGGGACAAGCCTCCCCGCCCCGCCGCCAGCCACTTCGCCGAGGACGCCGCCGCCTCCATGGCCTCGCAGCAGCAGCAGCTCATGTACCAGTCGCAGCAGCAGATGGCCGCCATGGAGGGGCTATTCCGCACGGCAAGCTCCGGCGCCACGGACCCCGTCGCCACCGGCGGCGGCAACGACAGCCTGCTCCGGCAGAGCAGCTCCCCCGCCGGGTTCCTCAACCATCTGAACATGGACAACGGTTGGTGCCTTAACCCCTTCTCCATTAGTCCTCACGAGCTCTCTTTCTTGGTTCTCGCGCTCGCCATGTAGCGGCACTGCAGCAGCAATCATGAGCTCGCTAGCTAGCTGGGAGTAGACAGCTTGAGTAGCTAGCTGCTTTCCATTTCTGGAACCGTCGCGTCGAGCAGTTAATGGAATACTGGTGCTGCTCTACTCCTAAACCCCGCAGGCTACGGGAGCATGCTCAGGGCGGGCATGGGCGGCGCCGCTGGCGGGGGAGGATACAGGAACGGCGACACGCGGCTCAAGGGGCAGCTGAGCTTCTCGTCGCGGCAGGGGTCGGTGATGTCGCAGATCTCGGAGATGGTGAGCGAGGAACTGGGCGATGGCGACAGCGGCGACGACGAGGCCGGCAGCAACGGAGCCGGCTACGGCGGCATCCCCGGGTACCCGGTGGTCGCCCCCTCGGCCGGCGCCGGCTGGGACGAGCCCTCGCCGTCCCCGTCGCCCTCGCTGCTGACGTCCGACGGCCTGCCCGGGCCGGCCGCGAAGCGGCGCCCGCGCGACGGCCCCGCCAACGGCGCGGCGCGGCAGCTGAAGCCGCAGTTCAGCCTGCCGGTCGGCAGCAAGCCGTCGCCGGAGATTGCGGCCATCGAGAAATTCCTCCAGTTCCAGGACTCGGTGCCGTGCAAGATCCGCGCCAAGCGCGGCTGCGCCACCCACCCCCGCAGCATCGCCGAACGGGTCCGTATACTCCACACAGCTCACCAGTCACCACCATGCCATGCCGTTACGTTACGCCTGTATCTCGCCGGCCGATCGATCTTGACGTCGTGGTGTGCGTGCAGGTGAGGAGGACGAAGATCAGCGAGCGTATACGGAAGCTGCAGGAGCTCGTCCCCAACATGGAGAAGGTAACCAACCAACCAATCAATCAAAGCCGTACGGCACAAACGCCGAGGCCGTACCGGCACGGCCGTGGCCCTGCCGGTGCCAGGGATTTAACCCATTAGTAGTAAAAACAGTTGGGCCGCGCATGATTAGTTCTTTCCCCCATTTGGCCCGCGCGCCATGGGAGGACCACGCCCGCCCTGTGACTGATTTTTACTCGCTTGCCATGGCTGCAGCAAACCAACACCTCCGACATGTTGGATCTGGCTGTCGACTACATCAAGGAGCTCCAGATGCAGGTCAAGGTACGTATATGTATGTACGTATGTATGTTCTACAGATAATGCTACATTTTCGCTTCCGGAGACGAGGATAATGCGGCCATTTGCGTCGCTGTTTGTGCGCGTGGAAGCTCGCCGGAGATGTTAGGATCAGCCGGATCTGCCCTGTGAACTGGGGCAGGGGCAACTTTAATTAGGCCGATATCCAAACCACACGCGCATGGCATGCATGCCGTAGCTCCTACAAGTCCTAACTAACAAATTGACCAATTAGAAGCACCTTTTTTTTTATCCGCCGACCATTTTGAATTTTCTCCAAGTTGGTTGCTAACGGTGTGGTCTCTGTTGTTGATTTTTGCTGAAGGTGATGAAGGACGGCCGGGCGAGCTGCACCTGCGCGGCGGGCAGGCCGCCGAGGAGCTTCGCCAGCTGACGGACCAAGCTCGCCGGCGTCCCTTCCCTTCATTGCACGATCGTGGGAGCGGCCGTCGCGGAGCTGAAGACCAATGGCATGCTGTCATCAATCAAATCAACCATCCCATGATCAAGCCGTAAACAGGAGGTCGAGCTAGTTGTAGTACTACATGAAGGTCATTAAAAAGCCCGCCGAGGCCACGGGCCCCACATGTCAGCCGCATTTGCCTTAGTTCTGTAGTCTAGCTTAGGTCGTTCATCTGTGAAGTGTACATACGTGCGTGCCCCGGAATAAAATCTCACTTACACGGCTGATATTTTTGTTGTCTCTTTTCACTGTAAACAAAGGTGTTTCTACGGGGAGTTGAGTTTGTGGCGTGCAGAGTGCGGCCGTGACCGCTGAGGCCGACCGGACCGATTGACTGACTGAATTGGCTTCCCGTGACAGCATCATGCGGGGTCGGATCCGGTGAAGAACAAACCGAGGGTTGGGTTCGATGCATGCATATGTATGTATGATGTCAGCGGTCGCTGTCTCCTGGCCCTCTGCCGCGATCGTCGATCCGCCTCCGCCCCTCGGCCGAAAACCGCGGGCGCTCGCGTCGCGTCGCGTGGCGGCGTACCGGTCTCGCGCGCCTCCCGCCGCGGGTTGCGTTGCGTGGCACGGCTGTTTTTCCGCACGAGGTAGTGAAGGCACGCGTGGTCCGATCCGTTGCTCGGCCGGGCTGGATTGGATTGGAGGTTGACCCGCGCGTCTCCGTGCCGGCGGCTGCTCAATCCCTGGATCGCCTAAAAGGGCTCTCTGTTTTCTTCGCGGGATTTTTTTTTCTCGAAAAGATAAAAATTAACCGGAAGTACAAAGCATCTCAAGCATAATAAAAATACGAAAACACTAACGCCCACACGGGTGGGCGTTACCCAACTCGCCCACACATCTCGATCGTTCTTCAGTGCATTTTGCACGAATTTTGGCACGAAAAATTTGATTTCGTATGCCACGTAGCACGGGGCTGGTGTGTGGGCGTTGGAGAATTTGGCCACACGCTCGCACCACGCTGTTTGCCAGCCGCGCTGTGTGGGCGAATTAGTTTCTGCCCACACAGTCAACCACCTAGTGCATGCGCGTGTGAGCGAACTACTTTTCGCCCACACGACATTCCTACGTTATGGATGGCAACTGCAGTTAGACGAACGTGGCAACTAGATAAACACACATGGCAACTGTGATTTTTTGCTAGACGGCAACTGCAGTTGCGCGTACGGCAACCAGATAAACACACATGGCAACTATGGTTGGACCATACATGACAACTAGGTAAACACACATGGCAACTACTATTAGACCATATGTGGCAAATAGTTAATCACACACGACAACTATGGTTGGACCACACGTGGCAACTAGGTAAACATACATGGCAACTACTGTTTGACCATATGTGGCAAGTAGTTAATCACACATGGCAACTACGGTTTGATTACACGCGGCAGCTACCATAAATTAGACATGACAACTATAGTTAATCAAAACAGGCAGAGTTGCCATGCTTTTACAACTACACTTGCCATTCCGGATAACTACATCTGCCAACCAGGATGGCAACTAAATCGTCATCCCGCGGTGTACCTATCGTAGTTGCGCCAGGACGTGTGGGCATTTTTGCTTCGTGCCACACGCGCAGGATAGAGATGGATAGTACTTGTTTACGTGTGGCAAAAAGTAGCCGCGTCCACACGCGTGAGCAATTCTAATGTCCGTCCACACACAACCCGTGTGGGCTACCTCCTGCTCACACCATACACGGTGTGTGGACACATGTCGTATATACCACACGTGTGGCAGTTATCGGCATCCTAAAAATAACATCGAGATTTCAAGACCACCGAAGAACCACTACAATGAGCCGCCGAATCACCGCTCCACTACCGGAGACGGCTTGACCTTGTCGATGACAGCCGAAAAGCCTTCATGCACGTGCCCATAAGGACCAACACCCTGGCCCCGCAGTCGTCGCCTGAAGCTGGAAGTGCTAGTTATTAACTAGAGGGGTGTTGAATAGACGATTTTTATGAAAGTCTCTGAAACAGATAAAGTATTTGAAGTCAGACAGGATAAACAAAGAACTAACCAGAATACAGCGAAAGATAAATTACATTAGCCATGCTTGAATACTTGTAATGAACAAGAACTTGTAGAGGCTAAGTAGAACACATAAGATTTGGAAGATAGTCTGAAGACAATTATGCAAACAGAGGGAATGTCTTCACACAATATCTTTGAACTGAAAAACGCAAACAATGACTTCACGAAGCTAAAGAGTAAGTAAAGGAGTGGAGTGGTAGAAACAGTTGCTCGATAAATATAAGGATCTGATAGACCAGTTCCAGTTGTTGTGACAACTGTACGTCTGGTTAGGGAGGCTGAGATCGAACTCATAAGACCACGTCTTCACCTTATTTCCCTTGAGCTAATGTCACTTAGTCCTCGCCTAATCACTCAGGTAAGTATTCAATGTATACTTCCAAACTTTCACAGACTTCGTTCGCCGGCAATCCATAATGACTCATGGATGCTCAGAACATAACGGCTAACTGACTGGAAGATCACCGTCTTCAAGTGTAATAAGTCTTCGGTTCACGCGGAACAGAAAGGCTTCAGTGATGCATAACACTCTTTGGGCTCTGGGTGTTTTGGGTTTGTTCTCGCAAGGATTCTCTCTCAAAGGCTCCGGAGGTAGGTTGCTCTCAAACGACAAAAGCCGTACTCTTAACTCGGAGCAGCCACCATCTTATGGTGGAAGGGGGTGGCTATTTATAGCCAGGGGGCTACCCAACATGGTTTTTCCGAAATTACCCTTGGTCATTGAGGAACTGACACATGTCCAACGGCCGGATTTCAAACACACGCAGCAACTTGACTTGGGCTACAAGCAATGCTGAATTATCCAACTCAGTATAAGGTTTCTCTCAATTGTCTTCGCTCGAAGACATAGGATTTTGGTTGAGCATCACGTCAGTTTTCTAACTTTGTTCACCTGGACCCCACTTAACAGTTCGGTGGTTTCTATGACTCAAGAAAGAAGAAAAGGAAACATCGAAAGAAACTATGTCTTCACGTTCTATCGTCTTCAAGCGAGTGTCTTCACATGGCATTATCTTCGATACGAATGTCTTCGCGAACCACCATTGTCATCAATGTCTTTGTACATTTTTAGGGGTCATCTTCGATGGGTAAACTGAATCAATAGGGACTTCTACCTGTGTTCTCCTGTGAATCTCACAAACACATTAGTCCCTCAACCAAGTTTGCCGTTAATACTCCAAAACCAACTAAGGACGACACTAGATGCACTTATAGAAGCCCCTGACATCTAATCTCGCCACATGACGAGAAACTCTAACCTCATTGTCCCATGGAGATGGTAGGAATCTATGCCAGTGCTCCATCAACTACGTCCAGACGGACAAACTCGAGTAGGACTAGGCAACGACTGGTCTCCCATGATTTAGGCCAACTCCAACGCACGACTCCATCATGTCCGTGTTTGTCCGCTTGGGCCCAAACGGACAGACGACACGCCCCAATGTGCGACCACAACTACATAACTTGTCCGTTTGGCATTCGGCCCGCCTATTTCCGGCACAAACCTGCACCCGGTTTGCGACCACACGGACAACAAACGAATGGGCACACACTTGCTCCTCGTCCGCCTCGGGGACGCATGGCGGCCGTCCAACTACCTCCACCACCCAAAATGAATGCGCACGTGTGGCGGGCCTCGACTGTCAGCCACCCAACTGATGGGTCGTCGTCCTTCTTAATGTGGAAGTCGTGGACCGACCAGTCCACAACTTTCACTTCCAAGCCTGCCTGCCTCCACCACCACCGACACGAGTTAGCAAACCCTAGTCACCATCGTCGCGTCCACCTCCTCGCTGGCGCCAGGGGCTGGCACTCGATCAGCAAGTGGAAGCATGACTATGAGCTCGGCTCCTATTTTTGTAGTCGCCGCTCCAGCAGATCGGTGCCGCCTGCACCACCTGCTCCGCCCGCGTTGGCCATCGCACCTCAAGCCGCCCCGCAGCACAGATGCCCGTACATCGGCATCGACATCTGCCGGCGCAATTGGGAGATGGCGACGCCATACGGGGAGATGCCCACCTCCCCAATAATTGGCATCTCTCCACGGATCGGGTGCCAATCCGTCTTGTGCCGGTGAGAGGGCACCCCCGCTGCGAGAGATCGACCGCCGCCGCTCCCGCCTCCCATTGGATCTCCTCTATGCCACCATGTATGGCATTGATTCACTGCAGTGTGATACGTGGCTCCGCTATGAGCACGACCTGCGGTGGCAGTCCTTTTTTGCTAGTCATCCTCCTAGCCTGCTGATGTCTACTACAAACTTGTTCTTGTAGACTCGTGTTGGGCCTTCAAGTGCAGAGTTTTGTAGGACAGTAGCAAATTTCCCTCAATTGGATGACCCAAGGTTTGTCAATCCGTGGGAGGCATAGGATGAAGATGGTCGCTCTCAAACAATCCTGCAACCAAATAACAAAGAGTCTCTTGTGTCCCCAACACACCCAATACGATGGTAAATTTTATAAGTGCACTAGGTTAGCAAAGAGACGGTGATAGAAGTGTAGTAATGATAGTAGATGTTGATTTTTGAAATAGGAACAACAAAAAACAGCAAGGTAACAAGTAACAAAAGTGAGCACAAACGGTAATTCAATGCTTGAAAATGAGGCCTAGGGTTTATACTTTCACTAGTGCAATCTCTCAACAATGTTAATATAATTAGATCATATAACCATCCCTCAACGTGCGATGAAGAAACACTCCAAAGTTCTTAGCTAGCGGAGAACATAATACGAAATTGTTTGTAGGCTACGAAACCACCTCAAAGTTATCCTTTCCGATCGATTTATCGAGCTTCCCTATAAGTGCCACAAACAGCCCAAGAGTTCGTACGAAAATAACACCATATGATACACATCAACCAACTCTAATGTTGTAAC